CCAGAGCTCAGAGAATTAGGAACTGAGGAACACAGCTATTGCTTGTGACTGTCAACCGCTGGGGTGGCGGTTGGGGGTTGGGGTGAAGGGGAGGAAGGAAACTATGTTCCCAAGTTTGTATGTGTAACAGCACACTTACTCATGTGTGACTGTGTGCACCTGGTTGTTCAGCTCTTGGCCTCCTAAGTAGATTGCTACTGTTACCAGGAAAAGAGGCATCAAGAGTTCCTTTCCTCTTTTTTTTTTCTCTTTCTCTTGTTCACTCTTCTTGACCTTTCTTCCTGTGTTTCTTTTTCTGCCATTCTTTCTACCTCTCCAGCCTCCACTTTCACTAAGGACTTGAGATAGCTGCAAAACAAACAAACAAAAATTACATTCTTCTACAGTCAGTAAGTTAAGGTGGGGAAAAAAGGTTCAGAAATTATGTAGAGGAAAAGTGAATATTATTGTACCAGATGCCAGCAATGATGCAGTGTAGTGGTTGAGTATTGAATTTGATTGAGCTTCCTGGCAGCCATGGCAAAAAGGGATATTCACTGGTTTCCAGTGTTCCTGTTGTTCAATCAAAGACATATTAGTGATTCATTAGGAGAAAATATTTTTCCCAGGTATTGACTTGAGGGGGGGCTGCCAAGGACTTTGAATATTCTAATGGGCAAAGATTAAAAAATAAGTCATTGGTATGACTGTTCCCTTTTATTGTCTCTAATGTATGTTGAATGCCTACTATTCTATGACAGGCCAGTTTACATCCTCAGGGGCTTTAACTAATGGTAGGCAAGACTGGTTACCTAACTTGATGAGCGGTAGAAGTGGGATGGGGACAAAGGGATGCTAAGTATCTTGTTCAAACACTTCCCAATTTATTTTTTGCCTGTTGTAGTTAATGCCACACTACAGAACCATTCATTCATTCCACAAGTATTTAGGATTCTCTAGGGATATTCTATCTTCTGTGTTCTCAAGGCAGCTTAGAGAGAAACTGACAAACAGCTGATATATATGGGATATGACGTGTATACCATGAAATATAATAGTAGAGGTCTATGCAAAATGCCACCAGGTAAAGTCATGGAATGCCAAAAAAAAAAAAAAAAAATGCCGCCAGGTATAGAAGCAGACAATAGTGAGTTCTTTGTACGGAGGTGATATTTGACCTTGTCCTTATGGATATCAAAGGAGTGACTGGGTGACAGGTGGTTCTGGCAGAGATACGATAGTACCTGTAAGTGGCTGAGAAGCTGCTGTTGTAGTGAGGTTCCAAGAGACTGACAAAAATGCAGTTGTATTTACATGTCACAGGCAGCTCAGAGGGACAGAATAGTGAGGACGTAGGAGTCACCATGTGTCCAAATTAAACAACTCTTGTGAGAGCAGAGTAAGAGGTATGGAATTCCACCAAAAGAGAGTTTGGGCTCAGGAGTCAGCCCTGGAGGTGGGGGTAGTTTAAGGTGCAGATGCATAAGACTGAGGGCTAATTTCCTAGATCTGCTGTCCCCGAGCTCTGCCTCACTAGAAAATTCTCTTTACCTTCTAACAACCAATGGTTGTTGACAACTGGATTTTTGGGCCTTCTGCCACGTGCATTAACACAGGTTGAGGAGTTCATGCGTTGAAAAGGTGATCCAACTGTTGGAGTGAGTGGACAAACTGAGGCCAAATTTAGTGATTAAAATAATCAAACGGCAAAAATGCTCTTCCACCTGTTCATTCAAGAAGGACAGTCTGTTGGCACTGTTGCACTTTCCTTAGGTCCAGGTTGGCGGTACTTTCTTGGATGAAGTAGAAGCTTTCCCTGGCAAACCCAGTGGCTCAGCCTGGAGTCCAGGAAGCAGGAAGTCCTGGCAGTGGGCTAGGGAGGGCCTGAGGTGCTGACTCTTGGCTAAGCTGCTGCCAGGCTTCCTAAGGGGCACTTACTCATTTGTTCACCCAGGTTCACTGTGCAAACTCTTTGTGGTCAGATTCCAGCTGCTCTATCTGCTCTTCTTTATCTTTTCCAGCTATTGGCATGTGTTCTATTTCTGATTCACTCCTGTTCTCATACCTCTAAGCCCTCCTTCAGCTCTTCTCAGCCTTGGGACTCAGGGGTTGCTTAGACCCAGGTTAAATACATCTGTCCCATGAAAATGTTCTTGACAGTGTCCCACCCAGATAATGAAGAGCTCTGTGCTGTTATCCCTCTTGGATGAGCTTCTGGGGCCAGATATTTTTTCCCTTGGGGCTTGTGGATGAAGGGCAAAGAGCATGCTAGATTTTTACATGCCACCTCCAGCCAAGAGAGGCTCAATTAAACACCTACTGTGCCCAGGCTTTCACTAGGGCAGTTCAGAACACAAAAAGGAAGGAGCAACTGTCTCGACCCCTGGGGGCCCCTGTCCAGAAGATACCAGAGGTGTTTTGACCTTCTATCTTTGAACATAGCAATGCACAAAAGTAGCTGTTTCTGGTGAGCTTTACTTCAAAACTCATTCTCAGTAAGTAAGGAAGCAAATACAATGATCAAGTCCCATTCTGCGAAGAATACTGCCTAGATAGTGACCTTTTCCCAGCTACTCCCTGCTACACAGAATGAAGACTATGCTTGGTCATGACCTATAGCAACAAATATATTTTCAGCTCCACCTTGTATATACATATCCACCGTTACAGGTGAAACAGAGTCACAAAATAGCACTTCTATGGTGAGACTTTTGAATATTTTCTGTTCTAGTCCATCCTAATTTCATTTTTTAAAATATTGGGGCTACCAAATTGATTTCATATCTATTAAAATATAAAAATCATTATGGCAGTTGTCAACACTTCAGAGTCATATGGACCTGTGTTCGAATCCTTACCCTGGTGCATAGGAACTGTGTGTCCTTATGCAAGTTATTTCTTGCTTTCTGCAACACGAGTCTCTGTTTCTTCATCTATAAAATGGGGGTAGCATAAAATGGACTTCGTGGAGTAATTGGCAGGGTTAAGTGAGATGATACAAGTTCCTGACACAGATTAAGTGGTTGATAAATGTGAATTTTTGACATGGTCATAAAGATTATGGTTTTTATTACCTGGCATCATTTAGCAGGGGAAACAAAACAATGGTGAGATTTCTGCCTGAGAATGGAGAAATGGCAGTCAGGGAGGACTTCTTGCAGGAGGAGGCACTGGGGGAGGGCAGTGGATGACCATGGCCCGCTACTGTTGTTACAGTGACTGAGAACCTCATATGAGCATCCCAAGATGACTCGTTTTCTTTCCATGAAAGGCAGACTTGTCCCCAAGGATTGTTGGTTGAACCTAGAGCCAGCCACACTGGATGCCTTTGCCTTTCACATTTAGATCTCTAATCCACCTGGAATTGATTTTTGTGTCTAGTGTAAAGTAAAGATCCAATTTCTTTCCCCCCACAGTCTCTGAATGGATAATGGGTTACCCTGCACTGTTTATTAGAACTCATCCTTCTCTGCTGATTTGTACCTTTCTTCTCTCATATATCAAGGTTCCATACATGCATGGATCAGTTTCTGGACCCGATCCTGTTCCATTGGTCTGTTTATCTATGCTGGTGCTAATCCCACCCTGTCTTCATTACTGCAGCATTTTAGTGATTCCTGATGTCATGGAGGTGTTGTTCCCATCTTGTCCTTTTCCCTTCGGAGCACCTGGGCTAGATTTGTTCTTTGCATGTTTCAGAATAAGCCTCTGCTGGAGATCATGGAGGAGCCCAGGGATTCTGGACACCTGTGCTCAGTGAGCTCCATCCCAGTGTGCTTGGCCCTGCAGTGCCTCCTGGACTCTCTGCTGTCCCACTCAGTTGGCATTTGGGCTGGTCAGGAGGTTCCTTCTCATTCATTGGTGGAGAAGATCACCGGGAATGTGCCTGAGCCTGTCTTCTGCCTGCTCCTTGCTCAGTGGTCCCTCATGTTGCCCTGCACAGCTCAGTCCTTATCATCCTGCCCATGGTGCCAGCAACTCCTTTCAGAAGATTCTTGCTTCCCTGCCCCATCAGCCAAGGACGTGATCCTGATAGTGACGTGCTCTCCGGTGGCAATGTCAAGGTCCTGGAGGGAACTCCACACATGTGGTTGGCATGCACCTCCAAGTCATTTGCCTTAGTGCTTGCAAATATTGTCTTTACCTGAAAATAGGCGTGGGGGTTGGGCAGGAGGAGGAAACCTGTCACGCACACTTCCAACTTAGTTCTCTATGGTAAGACACAAGTTGGCATCTTTAGTCTTCTCTGGAGACCATCTGCCAATAGCTTGGATGCTGCAGAAATGACTCATCGCAGATTCTATGATTACATGAAATGACTGGAAAGAGTGACTCATGGCCAAGTGCACACAGTTGGCATGGATTTGACATGTCAGATATACATGTGCCTCATAGTGTTCAGCATACAGGTGTTCACATACTTCCAGAATTCCAAAACACTTGCCAATCTGCGGATTCATTGGCTTGATATATAGGATTTTGTATTAGAGTTTATGGTGAACCATCCCTTGAACTGGGATTGAGACTTCTCCCCTCACACTTTAGTTTACTCATCTGTGATGAGGTTTTAGACTGGATGATGTCCCCAGTACTTTTTAATCCTTGTCTCTGTGATTGTACTTCTGAGATTTAAGAGCACAGAGATCAGAAACCTTGCTTCCCATCCTCTTGGCCATGAGACTCTCACTTCTGCCATGTTACTGATATCTCCCTCCTTGCCTTTGGGAAGATGCTCTCTGGCCACAGGGGGCCAAGCGAGGGGAAACTGTGGGCCATAAAGAAGCTAGATTTGAATTCTTGTGTAGTTGACCTGAATCCTGCCCACCTTTTAGATTCCAGATGCCTGTCTGACCTGTTGAGCTGAGTCTGCTCTCTCAACATGTGGGAGTGTGAACCCCTTGGGCCTCGCTGCTGGCATGGAGCAGCCCAGCTAGGTGGCTGGGCTAGAAGTGGCCACAGCATTTGGCTGGGGTGCTTTGGCATCTCCACGCTGAGCCATCTCTGTTTGTTTCCTCTTTCAGACCACTGAATATTCAGCCATGGCCTCACTCGCTGGAGGACTGGACGACATGAAGGCCAACCTGACCAGCCCCACCCCCGCTGACATTGGGAGCAGCGTACCTGGGCCACAGTCCTACCCCATTGTGACAGGTGAGGGCACATAGGGTCTTGATGAACGAGTGGAGGGCCATGAGTCGGGGGGAGAGATTGAGAGAGAGAGAAAGAGAATATCATGTGTGGTGGAAAGAATGGCCATTTCTGTTTAATGATATATGAGGTCCCAGAACAGGTCAGACCCTACGACTGGGGCCAGCAGTAGTGTCTGTGTGGAGATGTAGCTGAATGTTGCTCTGATAAAACCACGAAAGAGCAAAAGCCACAAGGACTATGGACTAGGAGGGCTGAGAGGAAAACTTCCACCAGGGAGGCCTGGGTGGTCTGGGAGTCCCTTGTGAATAAGGGTTCAAAGGTCTGAGATGTACCCCTGTCTGGAAAAGGGCATCCCTGGTTGTTGCCAACCTCAAGGAAGAGTGCAACTTCAGGCAGGCTGTCATTGGCATTTCAGATTTTCAGCAAAAGCTGAATCACAAAGGGCAAGAAGTTTGGGCCAGAAGGTGCTTGCTGTGTGTGGCTTTCTGGAAGACCAGCCTCTTTCTCTGTCAGTATTCAGATGAAAAGTTTGCACCTGGGTGGCACACTACTGGGTTGGAACTGGCCATTGACTCATTGTGTAATCTTGAGCTAGTTATCTATGATTTCTGGGCTGTGGTTTTCTGATTTGTAAAATGGGACTAGTGATAGCCCCTCCCCCATAGTGTTGTGGGGATTAAAGTGCTGACACATACAAGGGGCTTAAATGCTTGTCTGGCACACAGCAGGTAGCCAACACATGCAAGGGCTATTTCCCCACAGCCCTCAGGCTACCACAAGGGGCTCCATGCTGCAGAAGGGGTTGCTCAGACAGAGGCTAGCAGCAGTGGGACAAACTACAGAAAAAGGCTCTGGGAGGTTGTCCAGCCTGGAAGGCAGGAGGCCGTGTGTGTAGACAGAGGAGTCCTGGGTGGCAGCATTAGGTCAGAAGCTGGGGTCTAGCCTGAGGTAGAGGGTGTCCTGTAGCTGGTAGGCAGGACACAACCAGTAGTGACAGCGCAGTGGCTCCTACAAGTGCGGAAAGACTGTGGCTGTAGCAGGGAAACTAGGCCTTGGACTTGGACGAGAACTCTGGGGGCAGGGGCTGGACAAGACAGGCTCTCCATCCTGTGTCACATAAGCCCCAGCAGAGAGGCCTAGCTCTGAGACTGAAGCAGAAGAAGTCAGGGCCTATTTGCAGAGGTCAGTCCAGTGGCAAGAGTTCTTGATCCCCAATCACCTACAATGTGGCAAGAGCCTGGAAAGGTAGCTGAGGTTGCAGATGGAGCTGTCACTGAGGGTCAGGCATGCGGGCCGGGAAGCCTCGGTCAGTGTGAGCTTTCCCTAAAATCACAGATGTCCCTTGGGGTCTTGCCCCTACCCTCCAACCTCCTCCCCAGATCATGAGGTCCTATGACAAAACCTCATAGGCTCCCCCACTCCCATTTCACAGATATAGAGACTGAGTCTCAGAGGGGTCGTGGTTTGTGCCATGTGAAAGGTAAGGGGCACTTGGCACTGACCCTCAGTCTCCAAGAGCCCTCAGTCTCCAAGACCCTGGGTCATTATTCTTTTCCAGGAACTGCAAATAATTAAGGGGTCAGGGTGGTGGAATGAAAGGAAGCCTGAACGAGTTAATGGTAATCGTAACTGTCACTTTATCCAGTGGTCACTCTGCTGATAAACTAGTTTTACCCTCAGCATCTCTAGGAGGTGGGTACTATGCCATCATTTCTATTTCATAAATAAGGAAACTGGTTTGGGCAATTAAGTTACTGGTCTGAGATAATAGCTGATGAGCAGCTGAGTTAAATTTGAACACCTGGACCCTCATAGTGAGCTACCCTGCCATACACATCATCTGGGAACTGATCCCTTGATGTCTGACTATGGACACATCTGTGAACCTTGGTTTTTCCATCTGTAATGTGGTCCTGGTCTCTCTCTTTCTGGCGAGGATCAGTTGAGAGTCCTAAGGAGACTGCTCTGCAGGGTTTGTTGTTGGGATTGAGTTCACCAAAGGCAGGATACAGCCACATCACAGGGTACACGGCAGCCTACCTCCTGTGCCATCTGTCCAGGTGGGAAAGAAGCCAATCAACATTGAGGCCTTGCTTGTATTTCTGAGACTCTTGTCTACTGGGCTGGCAGGAAGGTGGCCCCAGGTTAAGTTAGTCCACAGACAGGGTTTAATCAGGTCACACAGGATTTAAGGGGGAAAATGTGAGGCAACATTTGAGAAATAAAAAGCTGGATTTTTGCTTTCCCTTGAAAAATCCCAGACATCTCACCAATTCAGGTCATATTCCCATATGGTCATGGGATGTGGGGACTCAGTAGCAGAAACTTGTCAAGACAGCACCCTACTGCCCCCCTTCTAACTGTGTTCTCGTGCACCTTGCCAGCCCATCCTGGAAAGGAATTTTAAAACTGCATAATAAAGCAGTGATGCTAAGACATCACTAAAAAGAAAATCGTTAGCTATCAAAGATTGAAATATTTCTTGAGATCCAATATTGGAGAGAGAATGCAAACATATTTTCATAAACTGCTATGGGTTTATAAATTGGTACAATATTTTTTGGAGGGAAATTTTGTCAAAATTGTAAATGCACATAGCTACTCTATAAGGACATTTTATGCACTTTTAAAGCTGTGTATCACAGCTGTAGTCACACAGGTGTATACAGTGATGCTGTATTTGTATAATTGCTACAGAATTATTTACAGTGGTAAGCAAATGGAAATAACAGTGTTTACCAATAAGAAAGATTAAATAAACTAGAACACACTATGAAATACTATGCAACTAGTAAAAAGAATTTAGAGCCACCTTTGTTGATTTGAATAAATGCCCCAGACATATTTTCAAGTAAGTAAACAACTTATAGAATAATATGAAAATTTAAAGGTGCCGCTGGTTTATGAGGATTCAGTAGAAGATGCCCCACTTCTCCTGCTTTATGGGGCATCACAGTGCTGTGCTAGTACTACAGGGTGCCCCAGTGTGAACTGGGCTGCCTGTCTGTGGGTCCTCACCCACGTGCCTAAAATTCAGTTATACTGCAGGAATACACAAAGGGTCAATAATGGGTTTATTTACAAAAGGGGAAAGAAAAAGGAACAACCCAGGGAAAGAGAGAGACATACGAGGTAACTAGAATATCTTACCAGCTCAGCTGACTTGGAGCTCTGGTAACAAACTAGCTGATGGCCCCCAGTCATCCAGTAAGGAGAGCTGTTGCCCAAGCAAGAGAGCCATAGAAAATGGCGCCCTATTTATCCACCAAAGTCCCAGAATGCCTGCTTAGCTCCCCCCTTGGGGCCTCGCAGTTCTCTCCCTGGTACTTCTGGGAGTTGTAGTTTCCAAAAGGGAGTAGGAGGTAGAGTCCAGAAAGCTGGAATAGGGGGCGGAGTCCACAAAACTCTGTAGAGTTCCTTTAGGACATCCTTCCCCTTAACATTAGCACTGAGGTTCTCTGCCCCATCCTGCCCACTGTTCCCTTGAAGTAGCAAATCTTTACAGTGTTCCTTTATTCTCCTGAAATTAAGCTCATAAAAAAGTTAGCCTATCATATCTAATTTCAAATAATATGAGATTAAGAAAGGAAAACAAAATTCTGTATAGTTAAATACTATATACTTCAATAACGCTCTGCAAGTCTGTGCTGCGGGACATGCTGATGGAGTTGGCTCAGAATCACCCCGTGCTCAGAATCGCCATGAGTGCAAGAGCCCTGACCTCAGGCCTGTGCGGGACGGTGGGCTTGGGGACTCGCACCGCCAGCGTGTTTCACAAATAGCGAGGAGCTCTTGGCGTAATGCCAAGTAAAACAAAGTACAGGCTTGGCTCCATTTACATGGGAGTTACATTCCTAGAAAATTCAAGGAAATTACAAGTTCACATTTACATGTAAATGAAGTTCAGTTCTAGATTCAAATAATTATAAACAGATATTTCACTTGGGCAGGAGATGACAATTGTGCAGGATGAAGGAAAAGTCTTTGCTGTGTGAGAAGCCAATAATATCCCTCATGTAAAAAAGTCCCACAAAATTTCAAAACACCCTCCAGAAGGCGGTAGCCAACCTTGCCCCTCCCCCAGAATTGTGAGAACACCCTGAAGGAATGTCCCCACAAAGTTGTTGGAGTGAACTTCCATGTCACTCCGGGCATTAATTCCACTCGAGTTGGTGGATGTGTTGACACAGTTGTGAATTCTTCAGGAATGGACAATGCAGCCGCTTGGCTCTTCTCCCCTCCCAGTGAAACCGAGCGTGTACAGATACTCAGCTGAGGGTGAGACAGCCCAGGGTTCCGGCCCAGCTGTGCCAGCCTGGGATCTCCATGCTCCCATTCTCACCCTCACTCTGGGCTGCTCAGGGAAGTTCTCATTAGTGAACGAGTCGATATCTCTCCCTCATTTATCTGCCACATTTAATATTAAGTTAGAGCCCTGCTCTATCAACCAGCACCATGGTTCCAAAACCGCGCCCCATATGCAAACCACTGGCATGGCTGGCCACTCCTGCGTCTCGTCAGCGTTTTGGGCTCTTTCTGATTAGGACTAATTACCTGCAGATGTGCCCTTGGGTCATGGACCTGCTGATGGGGCAGCTACAATGCCTACCTGCCTAGAGGGCAGCGGGTGGGGTGGCCCCAGCAGTCCTGTCTCCTACTGTACCTACCTGACCCTTTGTCTGGGAGAATGAAAGAATGGGGGGAGCCTGTATCCTTGCATTTCATCCCCGGCCGTGACTTCATACTCTCTCCAAACTAAAATGCTGTGGGCCTGCTTCTGGGGGAGCCACACTCCAAAGAGAAACCCAATATTCAAGATTGGAGCTGTTCACAACTTTCCCCAGAGTACAAGGCTATTTGCATTCCAAAGAGTCAAGGTGAATCTGATTAGGGGTTGAACTGTTTTGGGGATTGTGAAATAATCTGTAACTCACAGTTACAGGTTCTGCGGAAACCCAGATTTCTGGAATCATAGCATTCAAAAGGACACCAGAGGTTCA